CCGGGAGCCCGCTCCGACGGCACACGAGGCCCTGTCGAGGTCTGCCGTCGTCCCCCGCCACGGGCTCTGGCTGCGCCCTTCCTGCGGGGCCCGGTCACGTCCGCGTCCCTCCAAAACCCACGCGGAGAAAGGGCTCAGTGTGAGTGGGAGAGGAAGAGGACGGAGGAGAATTCGAGGCAATAACCTAGGGTATCTCATAACTATTGGGCGGCAGTGCGCAGCGCTCGGGTCCAGTTTGTCTGGGAAGAGACGGTCATTCCGGCGGAAGCTCTGGTCAGCGGGCCTGGCCCGGCCCCCGCTCCCCCCGCCCCCACCCTTCTGACCTGGCTTCGCTGACAGGCTCCTAGCCTAGAGGATCCAGAGGGTCCTTCACCTCCTAAACAAACCTGATAGGTAAAAACCTGAGCTCACACGGATTTAAATTAGGCGATAAGGTTTTGCCGTATAGGAATCTTATTACTTTCTCCTTTAGTTACCGTGCTGTCCTGGTGCACTTTTAAATACGATGTGCAAAATAATAGTAATCCATCTCCACACACCTGTGCTCCGCTAGGGCTTGAGGACTCTGCAATCGCTACCATTTCTAGTGCCGTGTCAGTGACTACCTGGTCCTCCAGGCCCTGCTACCTGTCAGTGTGAGGTCCCACCTCTCACCTCTTTCTGCTGGCCGGGGAACACAATGGTTTCCCTAGGAAACAAGCCTGGGGGACCCCACTGCAGTCACTGCTTTACTTATGGAGGTTTCTTAGTGCAGTACAATTATTTCCTACCCCATTAGTGACTTCCAATCTTTAAATTTAACATAAGTATCTTATAAATTGTTTAGAGTTCTGGGAAATAGAATAGCAGACAGCACCCTGCTTGTAAGAAGCAGGGGGCACTAACAGCTGGGGGTGCTGTGGTAGGGGTGTCTCAGTGCTGTCTACCCCCATCTTCTACTCACATAGCCCCCAGTCCTTAGCCACTATGGCCCCTGATGGCCAATGCCGGGGGCCTCTCACTCTACTTACCAGTCGTGTCTGCACCAGGTACTGCTTTGTATGGAGGGTCCCCTGGCCTGGTGTCCTGCCCTCCCAGGGCACACTTTCCACCTCGAGTGTGTGTGTGTGTGGGGAGAGCCAGGGCATTGCTTTGGAGGCTATGGCAGTCTGGTCTGGGCCGCTTGCTGCAGTGCCCAGAATCCTTCCTCAAAAGAGTCGAGGCTGCAAACTGCCCTCACTACCCCCAATCACAGGCTCAAGGTAGGCGAAGGAGCCCTAGTCAGCACCTTCTTCCTCCCACTCAGGCTGGGGAGACCCGTCACCCACCTGGGGGTCTTGGGGCATGCTGGCAGTGCAGGGGTGAGCTGGAGGCTCACTTTCCTCCACTGTACCCGTCGTGGGACCAGTGCTGAGTCTTTGAGGGTCCTGGTTGGGTGGGCGGCAGCAGCAGCAGCAGCAGCAAGAGGCCTAGCTTGGAGCTGGCCATGGCAGGGCTGCTCCTGATGGGGAACTCAAAAAGTTCAGTTCAGGGGGAACTTACTCCACATAGACTGTTTACTTGTAGATATGTAGTTAATAGGCTTGGCAATTAATGCATGTAGGAAAGCTATTATTCCAGGGACTGGAATGTATGACTGGACCTGCCCTGACTTCAGGAGACCCACAAGCAATTTGACCTTTTGCCCCAGGAGAGCTTTAAGTGACCAAGATGGTATCTGAGCCACTGTGCTCCAGGAAGAGGTCAGCTGCCCAGGATGTAGATAAAGAATCAGCACAGGTCAGCAGATGAAGGGATGCTCAGGAAATCACCTGACTGCAGCTTTTTCTGATTAAACCTTTTCCCTAAATTCCAAACCCCTTACCTACTTTCTCCTGAATTCCAAACCCTTTACCTACACTTAGTGTGGGTCAGCTCAGTTTTCTATTGCCTGGGGGTGGGCGGAGGGAGATGGGGGTGGCGGCGGGGAAGGGCAGGGCAGCAGAGGCCTGTTAATAATAACCAATTTCTGCAATTGAGCTGAACAGCAAATGCAAAGGCCTGGGCCAGGTTTGACATCACGGGGCCCAGTCACTGGGAGTGCAGGTGCATCAAATCCTGTGGCAAAGATGGGGGAGGGAATGGCATAATGGGCATCATGGTAGGTCATGGGCACCTGGAATTCAGCCGCCCAGGCAGGAGGGCACACGTGATTTTCCAAATTGGCTTATTTAGCAGGGACCTGAAATCAGTGTGTTCAGTTAAATTGTTTTGAGGGGAAAAAAAACCAAATAAGCTTTGTTCCTAGATGCATGGGTTAACCAAGTAATTTTTAGAAAACATTTGCTTTGTAGTTTAGTGAACATGACTGAATTTAATAAACAAGCTTAGTTTTGACTTGTATTTACAGAATGTTTATTTTAAAAGAGAAATGGGGATGGCTTTTTTTCTGTAATTTGTGGTTTTTGCTAAACGATCCAAACCAGAACTAAGCTTCCCAGGGGAAACACCGGGCCCTTTCTGGCAACATACCTAGCTTTTCAGGAATGTTTGCTATCCCCTTCCAGACTATAAACTCTGGAATTCATCTTCCTATCCTCAGCAGGACACAGAAAGCCATTTGTTCACCATAAGTTCCTGCTAATTCTCTGCCTTGGGGAGAGGACATCATTCCAGTCTGGGAGCTCTTGTCAGTGGGGAAAACAGAGGTTTAGAGCTCTGTGCTCAGGTGCTGTTGGAGCACAGCAAGGCACCACCCCCTGACCAAGGTGGTCTAGGGTGAAGGCAGAAAGGAGTTAGTTGGAGTTGTGGGAAACAGGGCAGCAGTGGGTGCTCCACTGTAAGGAACAAAATGGAGAAGGGTCAACACAGGAACTGCCAGGTGGGGGTGGAGGTGAAAGGGGTGCAGAGAATGCCAGAGGGCTGCAGGAAGCAGGGACAGGTGCCTGTGGGTCATCCCATGTGGGGTCACTGAGCAGGAAGCAGGAAATGTGGACCTGGAGCTCAGGAGGGGACTCAGGCTTGAGGAAGGGCTGAGGATCCACAGCACAGACAGCAGGACTGCCTGACCTCTGAGGAGACAGTGGAGGAGTGGCTAGCGTTAAGGAGTCACTACCACCAAGGGGGAACTAGTGGGCAGATGGGGGGTCCCTGGGCCTCAGTGCACAGGTCACCTTGGCGAGAACAGGTAAGGAAGGAAATGAAGTGGGATAGAGGCAGGAGTGGGAGTGCAGACTTTTTCAAGAAGTCTATCAGAGGGACAAGAATTTAAGCTGGAGGAAGTGATTTTGTGGGGGAAGTGATGAAAGAAACAGAAAACCTAGGAGAGAGCTGACTAGTTGAAGTGAGGTCTCTGAGGGTGTGGCAGACCCCAGAGTTCTTGGTGTGTGGTGGGCAATGGACACCACTCTTCCCCTTTTGAGAAATCCTGGCTGACGGGTGGGCACTGAATGAAGTAGTCACCCCTGCCCTTCCCACACAGTCACGCTGTGTGAGCCCCAATACACTTTCCTTTTAGCCCAGACTAGTTCCTGTTGGGTTTATGTCTCTGGAAATCATGTGAATCCTGCTTGAAGACATCTGTTAACCAGGTGATATTTACAATATTGGCCCAGCCACTGGTCAAATCAGCATGGACTCCAGCAGAAAACCATCGAGCCAAAATAGTGTGCAGCTGCTCAGTACCAGCCCTGGTAACAGTTGAGCAGCCTGCTGGAAGGGGAGGCAGGGCCTGTGGAGGGCATGCCGAGGGCTCTTCTGCTCGTTCCAGCACAGCCTACTGACCCAAAGCCTGCCCTCCTCCATCTGCCTGGACTTGGTCACAGACACACCAAAAAGTAGCTTGTTCGAGGAGCCAGGGTCTTTTCCCCAAACACAGCTCCTCTCATCAGAAATTCGTCAGATTCTATCATTGCTTAATTTATCCAGGCTTCTTTTAAAACTACTGAAATCGGAGTTTATTGCCCTGTGGAGTTCTTAGTTCGTACAGAAGGGACTGAGTGCCTCCACTGACACATACTCACCTCCTGCAAGCTTCCAGAGGTGGCCTGTTGTGTCCCTGCAGACATCCTGAACGTGGTACAAGACTTGGCTCCCGCCTTGGAGCCATGGTGTCCTTGCTGGCTTGGATTCCGAGGTCCTCTGTAATGTGACTGCACACGACCTTTCCTCCTTTCACTCATCTGAATATCCAGCATCCCTTGGGTCCAGTTCAAGTCCCACCTCCAAAAAGCACAGCAGCACTGATACCTCAAGTGTGCCTTCATGGACCAGGCTAGGATGTCACCTCTCAGTCCTGAGCCTCAGAAGGCTCAGGGCCTGGCCCTGCTCCTCAAGAAATGCCCTACAGGCCAGGCCAGGCTGCAGGCCTCTCTCAGTCCTGCACTGACAGCCATGACAAACAGTTTATTCTCTTGTTCCCATGATGAGCTGCTTGTTAGGATAGGAGGCAGTGGACAGGCCCCCTCTCCCAGCTGTGCTCCCAAAGACTACATTTCCCAGCCTCCCTGTAGCTAGGTGTGGCCTTATGACTAGGTTTTAACCAATGGGATATATATGAGAATGAAAAGTGCCAATTTTGCTTCATGTCCTTAAAAATGAAGTTGCTTGCTTTCCACTGTTTTTGGTTCTCCATGGGAAAAGACAGTGATCCAGCTCCAACCATGAAGAAAAGAATAGCACCCTAAGGGACACTGGAACCATGAGATGGGAGGATACTGGGCCTTTGGACTGGGCAGACAATTACATGAGAAATAAATGAACATCCACCTTATTTGAGACACAAAAGTTAAACATTATTGCCTAATATTCAGCTCAAAATCAAGTTGGAATCTAAGACTCCCACCATTCAGAATCTGAGGCACTTCCACATAAAAGTCCTGGAAATGAGGACAGATGTGAAAGAAAATTGAAGCTATTTACACAGTAAGTGTGAGAATAAAGACTTATTCTGGACGGAGTGACACAATCCAGGTAGTTTTGTAACAAAGCACCAGAGGTCAGACTGGCCTTAGCCCCGAGCCACTTCCTCTCTCCTCAATGCCCTTGGCTATCTTCCCAGAGTGCCAGGCGGGCTGGGACCACTGCACCAAAGATGGGCTGAGAAGGGAAGGCGGGTCCTTGGCATGTAGCCAAGCGCTGGAGGGGCTGCACTTATTGGAAAGGAGGAGTCAGGAGGACTGGCCTCTCTGGGGCCAGTTGAGATCAAACAGTACCGGCAGGGTCAGGAGTGGCCTAGGAGAGCCCCAGCTCTGGTATGGCTGCCCCACCCCAGACAAAGGGAGAGACGTTTCCTCAGGGAGGCAAAGCTTTTATTACCTGATAATCCCTAGTGTGGTGACAGAGGTACCACTCTGGTCCCCTTACTCCCATGATGGATGTGGGTGGTGGGAGAAGAGGCTGCATAGAGGGGGAGGGGAGGGATTACTTACAGAGCAGGGAGGGAATAGCGACCTGACAGGGCACTGGGACAACCAATTTCCTCAAGAGCTCTGAGAGCTTTGTGCTTTTGTCTTAGTTGATGCCAAGCTACCTGGAAAGGGTTTCGTGTTTCTTCTTTAGGAAAAGATGTGTAAAATACAGAACAATTCAGCCCAACTTCCAGGCAGAGAATTTCACAATATCAGTTCAAACATCACACTATTTAATTCCCCAATAAAACATTGGAAAAAGGAATATCAGTGCTATCACATTTACATATAAAATCTCCACCTAATAAGTAATAGAAGCCTATGTACCAATTCTAAAACAGTTATAAGATATATACACAATTTTGGGTATATTAACAAACAGAATATTACAAAATATTAAAGGCAATGCTCCTGTCCATGGTCTCATCACCTTACTTGAAGTTGGCATAATCTGAGAATGCATCGATATATTCCTGCACCACCTTGTAGCAGAACTCGTACTGTTCCTGGAGAGCGAAAGGAGGGGAAAGCCAGGGTTACTGATGAGAACATACACGCGGTTCCTGCCCGAGTTCTGACAGCATCCCCTCTGGGTGAGGGCAGCTCATCTACAGATGGAGGCGACCAGAGAAGAAGCGGTCAGATGTGTGCTGGTTTGGTAGAGCTGGTGGGGAGATGGCTGTGTGGCCCACACCTCACTATGCCTGTCAGGCTCGAGGCACCTCATTAACTCCCAAATATCGTAAAATTTACTTTCCTCATACTCAGTGGTTACTGGTCAGACTGTCAGGAGCCAGACCTCTTCGCAGGGAGCCTGAGCAGAAGAGAGGAGGCACTCCTGAGTCTTCCCTTCCCCGGACTCATGGAGAAGTGTGACAAGCCCATGGGGTGCCCTGCCCAGGCCATGCAGGGGTGCACCAGGAAGAGAGTTACTGGTGACAGGGCTATCTGCTTTCACTGCCTCCCAAGGCTCGTTCTGTCTGGGGCGCCCTGGGGAAGGGAAGAACGGGTCTGCAATTACATAGGCTCTGACAACTAGGAAGAGCCTCCCCTCTGAGCTGCCCTGACGAAGAAGGGCTACAGGTGGTGTGGACACCGCGGCAGCATACCAGTGTCTGGACCATGTGTGGCCTCTGCAGCCGCAGGCTCTTGACGGTTTGGAAGACATCCAGAATCCCCTCCGCTTTCACCCGTTCCAGGACTGTGCTTAGGGCACAGAAGGTCCCTGTCCGTCCTGCCCCCGCACTGTAATAGAGGAGACAAACAATACACCAACCTTCTGAGCTGACAAGGTGAGAGAAGGTGGCAGTGAGTGGATAAAGGCTGAAGTTGGTGCTGGGGGTGGAGCAGGAGGCCCGTCTGCTCCTCACCACATAAGCCCCTGCTCACACAGCTCTGGGGAGGCAGGTGCACCCCTGCTGCCCTCCCTGCACCACCTACTTTGCCTGGTGAGGGACTAACCTATGGGACAGCACTGAGCCTTTGGTGTCTACCTACAAACAAGCCTGGACTGCCCTGACCTGCTGCTCACTCATGTTAGAGTTCTCATCCTCTCTTTCCCCTGACACACCTGCCTCTCTGCACTGGTAGGTGTGTGCTGATTCTTTTCCACGCCTCTCATTTTCTTCCTAGATCCTAGGAATCCAAATTCTCGCCATGACACTGTCCACCCTGTTTAATGTTACCAGCTGATTCACTCACCAGACCCTCCTGAGTGCCTGCTGTGTGGTAGGGACTGTGGTGGGCAGCAGTATCCCCAGGTGGTAAGATACACAGCACAGGAAGGAAAAAGAGAAACAAGAGTTCTAGGAAGGGTGGGGAGAGCTGGGGAAAGGGTGGAAACAGGAAAGCAGTGAGGCCAGTATAATTACTGGGAAAAGGGGATGTGGCTTGGATAGAGAGGTCCTGGTGGAGGGAGTGAGAACACTTGGTTCTGAAATTATTTTGCATGTAGAGCAAGGTAGAGCATTCGATGAACATGTGTGAGAAAAAAGGAGGAGAACAGGAAGACTTTAAGGCATCTCGCTTGAGTTGAGTGGTGACTGAAATGCCACTTACTGATTTGGAGTTATGGCAACAGTAGGCTTAGAAAGAAGTATCAGTTCTGACTGAAACCCTTTAAACTAAAATTCTCAAGTGGAACTGCTGAGGTTAAGATATATGAATATGAAGTTTAGGGGAGAGGTTGAACTGGTGATAAAGATTTGGGTGCTGCCCTAGCCTGTTTGGCTCAGTAGATAGAGCGTCCGCCTGTGGGTTGAAGGGTCCTGGGTTTGATTCCGGTGAAGGACACGTGCTTGGGTTGTGGGCTCAATCCCCAGTGTGGGGTATTTCTTTCTCATCATTGATGTTTCTATCTCTCTCTCCCTTTCTCTTCCTCTCTGAAATCATACATATATATATGTGTGTGTATTTGTGTGTATGTGTGCATATATACATAAAGATTTGGGTGCTGCCCTAGCCCGTTTAGCTCGGGATAGATTGCTGGCCTGTGGACTGAAGGATCCCAGGTTCGGTTCTAATCAAGGGCACATACCTCAATTGCAGGCTCCCCACCCTGGTCAGGGGCATTCGGGAGGCAACCAATTGATGTGTCCCTGACTCTCCCTCTTCCTTCCATGGAAAAAATATTGAGTGAAGATTAAAAAAAAAGATTTGGATGCTGGTATCAAAGTCAGGAGACTCAGACGGGCTCACCTAGGGGAGTGACTGTTAGTTGACATAGAAGAGGTCCAAGGACTAGGCCCCAGACCACAGATGGAGCAAAGGTGACAGAGAAGAAACAGCTGATGACGACAAAAACTGAGCAGGAGGGCTGCAGGAGAGAAGCTATGCTGAAAGCATTCCATAGAGACGTGAGCGATCAGCTATCCAATACAGGGGGGCCTTGACTTACGAGTGTCCCAACTAACGAGTTTTTTGAGATACCAGCTGCCTCTCCACCGATTTTTTGCTTTGAGTTGACAGAGTAATTTGAGCTAACGAGCTCCTTAACGAGCTTGGTCTCAGAACGAATTAAACTCATAAGTCAAGGCCCCACTGTATTGATGAAGGTGAAGGATAATGAGACTGTGACCTGGGAAAGGTCACAGGTGCCCCTCCCCGGGGCAGCTCTAACAGAGTGTGAGAGTGTGTGTGTTTGTAATTGGAATGGAATCAAGAGAGAAAGGGAGAAGACTAATTGGAGAGTAAGTATGAACAAATCTTTTAAGAACCATTAATATTAAGGAAAACAGAGAAATAGAGGAGTAGCTGGGGGAAGAATTGGAGGTCCGAGTTTTTTATTTATTTATTTTTAAAAATATATTTTATTGATTTTTCACAGAGAGGAAAGGAGAGGGATAGAGAGTTAGAAACATCGATGAGAGAGAAACATCGATCAGCTACCTCCTGCACACCTCCCACCGGGGATGTGCCCGCAACCAAGGTACATGCCCCTGACCGGAATCGAACCTGGGACCTTTCAGTCCGCAGGCCGACGCTCTATCCACTGAGCCAAACTGGTTAGGGCGGAGGTAGCGTTTTTTAAAAAAATATTAAGATGGGAGAAATTATAGCACATTTGTATGAAGATGTAGTTATGTAGGTAGTTATTTGAGAAGATCATGTAGCATAGTGAAGTCACGTCCCCAAGGAGATAAAAGGGGACAGAACTGGTATCTAAGTGGAGGGTCAGGGTGTAGACAAGCTCTAGTGTGGCCTGTCTGATGTTCATGCCCTTGTGTGATCCCACTCCCTTGAGTGTGGGAGGGACCTGTGATATGCTACTAACCAAGAGAAAGAGCAAGTGATAGCATGTATACAATTACATATACATGATTATGTTACATGAGATCCTAATGCCTGTTTTGCAAGATGCTCTCTCCTTTGCTGGCTTAGAAGAAACAAGCACCCATACTGAGGTCCATGTTGCAAGAAACTTCAAACAAGAGGCTTCCAGTCCAGCACTTACAAGGAACTGAATGCTACCAACAACCAAGCACACTTGGAGGCGGATCCTTCCCTGTCTGAGCCTCAGGTGGGTCCACAGCCCTGGCCAGCACCTTGATTGTAACCTTGTGAGACCCTGAAGCACAAGACTCAGCTGAGACATGTCAGAATCCTGATCCCAGAGACTGAGAGATAAATGTGTGTTGTTCTCAGATGTTAAGTTTGTGGTAATATTACACAACAAAAGAAGATTAACGTAGCTGCCTTCAGAGAGGTCAGACAACTCATCCACTGAATAGGAGGCTGCAGGGTCCACAGCACCAGCACAGGCAGGTGGTGAGCTGTGGTGGTGGGAGTATGTGGAAGTTCTCTCTGATTGCTTCTCTTTTCTTAGATAGAAAACACAGTGACTTTTTAAATATGAGGATGGGAGAGGTGCTGGAGGTTTGAGGTTTGAAAGGAGGTATGAAATAATCATCTGGGAAAAAGGCTGGCAAGTTTTTCTATAAAGGACCAGATAGAAATATTTTAGGTTTTGCTGGGAAGAGATAAAACTGAGTAATAACTGGGCAATTGTAACTTATTGTATGCTGAGCAGCACTGTGCAATGAGGCGGGCTCCACTAAGACCTCAGATCTACCACTGGAGCATGAGAGTTGCCACGACCAATACAAACACATGAGCATAGCTGTGTTCAATAAACCTTGAATTTTATGTAATTTTCATGCCATGAAATAGTCTTTTGATTTTTTTAAAATATATTTTATTGATTTTTTACAGAGAGGAAGGGAGAGAGACAGAGAGCCAGAAACATCGATGAGAGAGAAACATCGATCAGCTGCCTCCTGCACATCTCCTATTGGGGATGTGCCCGCAACCCAGGCACATGACCCTGACCGGAATCAAACCCGGGACCCCTCAGTCCGCAGGCCGACGCTCTATCCACTGAGCCAAACCGGCTTCGGCAGTCTTTTGATTTTTAAAAAACCACTTAAAAATATAAAAAGTTCTTAGCTTGCAGGCTCAAACAAAACCAGGTGGCAGGCTGGATTTGGTGATGCGC